GGTGGTTGGGTGTGAGAGGATGCCTGCTCCAACATGCGGACAACTGCAAGATGCCACACAGCAAGTGGGAGAAGGCGAGACACTTACACACACACACACCACACAAACCAAGCATGCCCAGTGCCCGGCAGGCCATGACAAACCAACCTCTCAGTGCCAAGCTGTCCTTGAGAGGAGCAGCGCGCACCTCCTCTTCAGTCTTCTGCCTGGCGCGGTCGACAACAAAGGCCAACTGAACATGGCGCATTGATTCCCTGAGCGAAAGAGGAGGGGGGAAATGGAATGCAAGGGGTCACACCCCTCCCCACTTCCATGTTTTTCATGGCTGGGATGCGCATTAAGATAGCGCTGTTCTTTGGCCATCTTAGATTCAGGATCGCATGTTTTGGTGTTGAAAGTAAGCCCCCATCATGCCATTGGTGAACCTGAAGAATGGTTACCAGAAACAACTGCAAGCTTCATCAACATGTCAGTGCTCAATATCACTAAGGTGTTACTGTTACTTCCGCCACTTTCCGTGAGCTGCATACCGGCATTCACCGCAAAACAGACTGGCACAAGCTACCCTCAGATCTATGGCACAGCCTCCAGAAAGGGTCTCAATCGACTGACCAGTTACCGAGCAACTCCAAAAGTTGCAGCAAGCGATCCCGTGTGGCTGTGCACATCACGCAGTCGCACAGGGCCGAGCCTCCAAAGAAATGGGAAACACCTCGGCAAATCGAGAAACACCGAGGCAAATGGGATGTGCATTTCTACCTGGCAGCACTGGGACGAAACCGCAGTGCCTTCCCCATGACTATTTGCTGGAAGCGTACAGGCTTTTGGGAAAATGCCAGGAGTAACCAGTGGAGCTAATTCACAGCCCCCAACTGCTACACCGATAGGATTCCACTTCTGCTAAAAGGCCAGCTATTTGAAGCTGATAACCTTCCGTGCGCATCTGAAAGTAACGGAAGTGACAACTCTCCATCAGCAGCCACGCCTGCAGTGCAAATGGGAAATGGCTAAGCTTCTTTTGCGCACTTCACATCACTTCACTCCAAGAATCAGACTTGATTAATTATAAGAAAGCATAACCCCCCCCCCTTACCCCCCCCTGAGACATGCTATAGCACTGCTATTGGAGTGTCATAGCACTGTTAAAGTATTTGGCTCCCAAAGGGTTCCCCGCTGACTGGCGGCGCGACAAGCGCTGGAAAATGGCACCCACCACTACGCTCATGCTCGTCCCCCTCGCACCCCTTCCTTCCCCGTCCCCCTGCTCTTCCCGTCCGCTCCCCATAAGCTTCAGAAGTGCGCAAGTCTTCCGCAAGGCTTCCGGAAGCTTCCGGAACTTCCGGAAGCCTTGCGGAAGCTTCCGGAAGCCTTAGGGGAAGCTTCGGGAAAAAGAGGGGGGCGGAAGGGGGGAACACCCTTGTTTCATCCCCAATCTCCCCCCCTTTACCCGAAGCTTCCCCAAGGCTTCTGGAAGCTTCCGCAAGGCTTCCGGAAGCTTCCCCAAGGCTTCCGGAAGCTTCCCACCTACTTGGCCCAAAGGGGGGGGTGGGTAAAGAGGGGAGGGGGTTGAGGCTTCTTAAATTCAAGGCATGGGATGCTTCCCCTGCCACAAGACTGAGGTGATCGCCGCCCTTGCGATGTCTCCACCGTTACCTCGCAGATCGCAGGAAGTGCACAAGGCGCGAAGTGCCAGGCTCGACAAGGGCTACATCGTCAAGGTACTTGGACCCTCAAGGTTCACGAAATCACTTCACATGGGTCAAAAGAAATCCCCATGAGTTAAGCGGGATTCGGCACCGGCACATCTGAGGAGCTCACAAGCAATCGCGGACTGAGGCGTTTACTGATCCAAGGGACAACCTGTAAAGAACTTTGCAGGTGGAAGCTCAAACTACGTAGGTTGTAATGCACGTTTGCAGGACACGAGTGATGATTCCATACACCAAGCATGGCCATGCAAACAACCTGCCATGCACGCAATTCGGGTCCCTGCACTGCCTAGGGCGAACCCCACTGACAAAACATATCGACAGGCCTCTGCAACTTCCCCAATGAACATCAGGATGGGTGTCAGCAAACCGTCACAGGCAAAGCAAACTAGCTGGGCCCGAAAAGGATAACACAAGGACTCAATAGTTCAAATCATATACCTTTGTAACGGGGTTCCTTCTCTCATGAGTTCCAAACATGGAACCCCCAAAGCGTGCCCGGTCCTGGTCATCCGGCTGCAGAAAGTTGGGAGCGTCCTCCAAGGGGGACAGCTGAGCACCTAGGCTGGGCGAAATGTATCAGTGGCGGGTTTCCCATGCACCTTCCTTTCGGCAGAACTGGGTTGCGGTTTCCCAAAGTCGCCAAATTCCTAGGGGTGCCCAGTTCCTTCCTCTTCTGTCCGCAACTGGGCTCCCTAATTCTGGGGGATTCCCAATTATAAGCCACTACTTGGAGTCAGCAGGAGAAATCACTCATGTAGTGTTGTTTTAGAACTGGCCTACCCTTACTTTAGCCATTTTGGATGTGGAATATGAATTATTAGGGGATTTTCATTAGGGGGAAGTAGTTCTCTCTCTCTGCCGCATCCGTAAGCCGTCCACCAGAGGTGGGATGCCTTTGAACCCATTTCAGGCCGTCGCAAACCGGTGCGCATCAAAGGGCGCACAAAAAGGAACGGGCTTCTCAAAGGCCAGGGTTTCATGATCCTTTCACATTGCACCATCTGCGTCAGGGAGTCCAGGAGACCCCTTCCAGGACAACGCACAGATACTAACCAGGCCATCCTTCTAGGGGTTGATAGTTAGGTAGGGCCATGCGCAACTTTTTTCGGACTCAAAAGTCTAGGGTCTACCCTAGGATTTTTTGCATTTTTTGAATAAGCGCACCAAAACAGCCATTTTAAAACATTGTTTGAAACAGTCTAAACACATTTTGATAAATATTTTTTTAGTACAGCATACCAAAACGAAAAATAAATTATTTTTTGAAAAACTCAATACACCTAAACATTGTCATTTTCAAAAACACACATTTTCCAAAATATTTTAGAAAATATATTTTTTTCAAAAGAGATAAATATATATATATATATCATTTTAAGAAGAATTATTCAATAAGAAACAACATTTTCAATAATTCAATGAGAAGACTTAATAATTAATCATTTTTCAACATTTTGATATTCCGGGGTTGCGCATGGCCCACCTTGTAGGATTTTATCTTCAATATATAAAACGCTATACTTACATTATAATTATAACATATAAGGGTATAAATGTTATTATTATAGTATGATTATAATTTAAGTTCAAGATAATTGAAATTGGGACTGGAGTCCCCGAAAATTGGGACTGGAGTCCCCGAAAATTGGGACTGGAGTCCCCGAATCCCACGCATTTGGGACTGGAGTCCCCGAATCCCACGCATTTTGGGTCAGAGTCCCACGCATTTTGGGTCAGAGTCCCACGCATTTGGGGCTGGAGTCCGCGAAAATTGGGACTCGAACCCCCTCTGGTGTCTTGTTTCTTTAATCCGTCAAACTCACTAAGATTTCACAAATTAATTCGCTAGGTATATATAGGTCGTCCTGTTTATGTATTATTGGATTGTCACCCCATTTTTCCTTAGTGCCTGATGGTAGCCGTTGTGCTGTTTCAATATGTTTATTATTCCTGATGTTGCCACAATCCTTTTTACATAAATCTCTAGGTTTCCAAGTTGTAATGTTATTCCAGGGCCTAGTGCGTTTTCTGTAAGGCATTCCATATTTACAATAATCAACATCTTTAAAATCAAACTCATCCATAAACTCCTGATGTTTTAATAATCCAGTTTGTGGATTTTCGATTACAAAATATTTAGGATTGAAATATTTGATAATCTCAATAGTTTTTAAGACAATACTATTACCATATTCGATATTCCTAATTCCTGTCGTTTTTGCTTTGCTGTATTCGGTGCATGGGGGACTACTCCAAATAAAGTCAAAATGGTTTCTGTCAAACTGTTTGTAATCCCACTCCAAAATATCAGTGTTGATATCAGCATTTTTCAAGTCTAATGATATCACATTAAATCCAAGCGACTTTGCTATGGTTCCGACGCTTTTTGTTCCGCTAAATAATTCTAATAAATTCATTTATTAGAATTATTTAGATATTAATTATTCAAATAATACATATACTCCATCATCATGTTTTGTAATTTTATAAAACTCTAATGTTTGTTGCTTTGGTTGTTTGATTTTTCCTGTATTCAACATATCACAGTATTTCTTTTGCTTTGTAGGGTAGTCGCCCGATGGTCTTCCTATAGATTTTGCTTGAAATATCTTTTCGATTTTCTCCTTCTCTTCGTTGCTTTGTTGTTCGCGTTCAACTGGTTTCATTTTGTCATCAATGGATTTAATCATATCATTTAAGGTTTTGATATTTTTACCAATTAATGTTATCTTCTTCATTAAATCATTAATAGTATAATTCTCATTTTCAGACATTACTATATATTTATTTAGATAATTATTTATTTAATTATATATTTATAAAGTGCAATTATGTTAAATCTACTCTTTAAATACTAATTTTTCATCATTTGTTTAACAGTTTCCTGTGTTTCGTTTTCATTATTATCGGATGGTGTTGCTTGCCTACCAAATTTAAAAGTTATATTATGAACATCAGTTTCTAAGTTGATACTGTCTTTAGTTTTATCAATATTCATTTTCTTATCATTTTTACTTACTTTAAAACCAACTGGCACACAACTACATTTACAATTTCCCGTCCTTTGTATTTCTAACTCATTTTTAAGTTCTAACATCTTTTTGCACATAGGACAAGCAACCTCAATTACTGCTGTTTCTTTAACAATTTCTCCGCTATCTTCATCTGTTGAAGAAACACTTAAACCTGTCTTATTTTTGTTTTTCTTTTTCTTTTTCACCATTTATATTAACATTTACATTTTTATTTTTGATATATTGTATTCCTAGCTTAAGTATTTCTAATGAATAATAACAACATTTCTTAATTTTATTATCAGTTATTATTACTTGTTCTATATTCTCTACTTCATCTATTATATTAATATAATCTGAATAACTCCTATTCATATAAATAGTAAGATAAAATAGTTATTTAATCTTATTATTTTCATGCATAATAGAATATTGGTGGGGCACAGCACTTGGGGTTTTCATTGCACACGCGGGCGAGATACAAACTAATTAGCTTCAATGCTTATTGATTGAAGCAATGGAAAAGCCTGTTCCATTTTTATGATATTCGCCACCAGCATATCATAAAAACGATGTTCCATTTAATAGTAATTACAAGTTAATTTTTAAATATAATTTTCTATATTTCTTTAATATCAACTATGTCAGATGTTCCAATAATAAAACCAATAAACATAACTGAATATGAATTCAAACAATCCAAATATGAGCACGTGCCAAAACTACCATTTAGAAGTATTATAGTCGCGAGTTCAACGGGCGGGAAGACTGTCCTTATTCAAAATTTAATATTGAATGTTTATAGAAATTCATTCGCAAGAATATTCATATTTTCACCCAGCGTCCATAACGACCCTACATTTACAGAAGTTAAAAAATATATCAGGGACGAATTGCACGTAGATGATGAAAAAGAACAAATTTATTTTGATAATTATAATCCAAGTGATTTAGAAAATGTAATTGAAAGACAGAAGAAAATAATTAATTATATGAAATCTAAAAAGATAAAGAAACTGCATTCACTATTAATCGTGATAGATGACCACGCAGACGACCCTAAATTTGTTAGATATAGTAAATTATTACATGGATTATTTACAAGAGGCAGGCACGATGCAGTAAGTGTGATTTGTTCAACACAAAAATACACTGTTTTGGCGCCTACCATTCGTTTAAATGCCAGTTCATTATATATTTTTAGGTTGAAAAATGCCAGTGAATTAATGAGTTTTATTGAAGAAAATAGCGCCACTGTTGACAAACAGCAATTATTAGATATGTATCATCAAGCCGTTAATGACGCACCTTATAGTTTCTTCTACGTGAATATGAATGCTAAAGACATTAACAAAATGTTTCATATCAGATTTGAACAGGCGTTTCAAATTACGAATGATGAATAAAGATATTCTAATTTAATATAATATAAAATTATGTCAATGAAACTATGTAGATGTGGTGGATTGTATCGTAGAGGTAATTATAATTTTCATACTAATTCTTGGATACATAAACTTTATAAGGCATTGAAGAGGAGGGCAACGGACGAGGAATTATTAAGATTTCAACATAATTTTGTTGATGAAGAAGATTTAATAGATGAAACAAATAGCACTGTTTCAACATCAACGCCAAAAAGTGAAAGAAGTTGTATAAGCAATTAATAATATTAATTTGTTTTAATATTATTAATTTAAAATAAAGAATAACTACATAGATTCAAAGCAGGTAATTTATAATATATTTTATCTTTTTTACATTCATTAACTTTTTCTAATTTATTGATTATTGCTTTCAATGAATTTATTTGTAGAATATCAATTCTTGACATTTCACTTATCGTATTTACATCTATATCTTTTATTACTTTAATAGCCTCTTCGTCATCAATTTCTACTGGTTTTGATTTACTTGAACCCATTATATATAATATTATTTAGATTTTAATTTTTCAAAATTGAAATGTTGGTTTTCTTCTTCTTCTTCGTCTTCAGTTGGTGCTGGTATTTCTGTTGGACTTTCAGATGAAGAACTATGGACAGTAATAGGTGGAGAACTATGAACACTAATAATTTCACTAGAAGAACTACTGCTACTTTGTGCATGTCCTGCCGTTATCTGATTGACTAAATCTGCGATATTTATAGTTGTTGCAATTGCGCTGTGCGATAAGTTTAATATGATATCTGCTACTGTAGCGCCGTTGTGTAGCATTATTTCTATCATTTTTGTCAGTTTGAACTTCTTTTCTTCTTCATCGCTGTCATCCTCATCTGGTGGTTTCTTTGGTGGTGGTTCTGGCGGTTTGTTGTTGTCGAGCATTTTAGTAAAGGCTGACACCATCGCGTCGCGTTGGTTTTTCAGTGTTTGTGTTGCGTGTGTTCTTGTTGGTTCATTTCTCTTGTGTGTGTTGTGCCAAAAGTTTTTAAGCATTATTTTAAACATATTGTCTTGGTTTTCCTTTACCTTAAATGCTTCAAGTGTCATATTTAACGGTTGGTTTGCATCATTGTAAAACTTTTCTTGAGTCTCTCTGGTTT